CCCCCATTTTATAAAAAAAGAAAAAATTTTTTTTCCCGCCTTCTTTTTGCTCCCGGGGGGGGGGGGGGGGCCCCCCCCCCCCCCCCCCCCCCCACCCCTCGAAAAAAAATTGATGGAGTGAGAAATTGTCCACCGCTCGCTACATGGTCCCTGATTTCTGACCTGTTCAGGTGCCAACATGTCATGCCCAGTCGGTCGTCGGGACTCCCTCCGGTAAGCTGGCAGTCCAAGGTCAACTGGCCAGTGAGGATGGGTGTTGTGCACTACAGAAATGTTACTGTTATGCTCCCTTGCGTCTTTCTCTGTCGCGTTCACAACAGAACCAATCAAAATATTCGTGAAAACGATGTCAAGAATAGATGCGTCCATGAATCAATTACCTCCTCCAAACTGATTATGCTGTCCTCGAGAATGTTTTCACACCTATCGGCCTACGTGTATTACCCACATCGATACATTTGCGCTCGGTTTTTGCTTTATCTTTTTTTTTTCTTTCTCGATTATGCTTCCGTTGTGCCAACGAAAAAACGGAAAATCCGCTTAAGCCTTGCAGATCCGCACCCCAGTTCCTCACCTTTGTCCCTTCACTTTTGCACCTCAAGCCACGTTCACTTGACCTTGGCGCCAACGCGACACCCACAGTGTGGTACAGTACCCTAAGGGTACAGTATACTGCACTGTATATTCCATGATTTCATAATGATTGACTCGCCTGACTCGCCTGAATCGCCTGAATCGCCTGAATCGCTTGATTTGCCCGATTTGCATCACTCCCCTGCGGCAAACTTTCCCCGTCCAATGCCCCCCGTCCAGTGCCCCCCGTCCCCCTTCCCGTGCTCACATGACGACCTAAAGTTGCAAACTTAAATATTGCGTGAATCATTGAGGCGTAGCGTGTCATGCAAGAACGAAACGACCAAAGGCGAACCCCACGTTGGGTAAGTCCTTTTCGAAGAAATCACACTGTAACGGTGGTCTATGAGGCAGATCTTTTCTGTTTTTGGTTGCTGACAAGCGAAATGTCCATCCTGATTTTCAAATTACTGTAGTCTACACCACCGTCGGTAGTGTACAGTTGCGGTACTCTTGGTACAGCATGTCATTATCCTTGGCAAACGCACGGCATGGACTTGCCCTTCGACTCATCTCGCGCCAATCTCGAGGTGGCCGGTATCGCGAGAGGATGATCGCCCCTCTCAGGGTGTGTCTTAAGTTAAGACTCTTAACAGGCTGGTTTTTGCTGGCCTTGCCCGGTTTTGCCAGGAATACTTTTAAATTCTTAACAAATACCGTATGCTTTTTAAGCCCTTGCTTTTCTTAAACTCAAAAATTAAAACGTAGGAGCCACTCATAGCACGCCGAATCACCTCTTTGGGCAAAGCAACAAAGCAAAGCAAACTGCAGAAAAACGGGGCATGTTAAGACACACCCTCACGTAGAACCCGTCCCCGACCTATGCTCTCCAACCGCTTCATATATAACGCTACCCTTGGTACAGTGTAGCGTATGCCAAACAGAAGGACAACACCTAACACTTTTAAACGCTTTATTGCTTTATTCATTTTACATGACCCTTGTGCGTGTTTCATTGCCTTTCGAGATACCTCGAGACATTGAGCCGCATCGCTGTTTGGTGTGCTGCGTGTAAACAACATACAGTCCTCGTACTGAATCTCGTCGTGAACCGCGATCATCGCGCGTCTGCAAATTCCCATCACCACACCCACCATTAAATTACATTGTCCGCTCAGCTGTACACGTCCTTGCTCCTTCACTTTTTCCCTCTTGCGACAGTGAGTCCTGCTTATATTCGTCCTTCTTCCCGCCGGGACACCAAGTGCCCATGCATAACCACATGTTACTGTACGACCCCCCTTCGTCAACACATAATGTAAATCCGCCTACCACCTTCCGCCTACCACCTTCCGCCTCCTACCGTACAATACAACAACATCCAGTACTGCACATTACAGATCAGGGCAATACAGTACAAAGGGTACTGTATTGCCCTGACATTCTACAGTACATCTTCTTCCATATACGGTACCCTTCCTGAAAGGGGCAATTTGGTAATCGGGGGCAATTTGGTAATTTTTAGTATTCCCCTACCAGTTTACCTCAAACGCACGTACAAGTTGCTGACAATAGTCGTACACCCGGTCCGTCTTCCCTCGTTGCTGCGGACCGGAAAAGTCCGCCAAAATTCAAACGTTTGCACTCCCACAGTGCTTTTACGTTCGCCCATCTGCTTCCTGCAGCTCTGACATCATGACTGTGATTTCGGGCTTCAGGGAACCATGGGTCTATCTATGCGCATGCAGAGCGCGATTGAGAAAAAAAGACAAGAACGCGACGCCGTAATAAAAGAACAAAGGCCACTTCCCTCCTCCGTGACGGCAAAAAGAGGTCTGCCCTTGTCAAAATTACAAAAGTGCCCCGAACGACAATTGATCGCATTTATCGTGCCTTGAAGGCCGATGATGACCTTACACTCGATGCTCTTTTGTCCCCAGAAGATAACGGCAGAGGTCGACATACAGTTATCATCCAACAAGAGTCCGTGCTGATAAAAAAAAGGATCAACTTTGCTGCCGAGAAAGGATTCCCACTCTCCAACGGCGATGTCAGAAAAATAATGACCGACATAGCGTCCAATGGGCGTACCGGATTCCAGACGGAGTCGGGTAGTCCGTCTCAGGACACGATAAGGCACTGGCGGGCGATCAACAGAGACGTAACATACCAAAAAGCCGAGAACAAAGACATAGCAAAGTTGAAGGCCGAAAACTTCGGACATGTATCAACTTTTTCAGACGCATTGAAAAAGGTCGAGCATGCCAATCCCGAAATTTTTCAGGACCCCGCCCAGCTTCGGAACGTCGACGAGACGGCAGTCGACTGCCAATACGGCGAACGGAAGAAGGTTTTCGGGTCCTCTGCGACTCACCATGGCGGATACATGGCTGGTCAGGCCCAAAAAAACCAACAAACATATCACACTCGTAGTGGCAGTTTCTGCTTCTGGGCGAAAAGTTCCCCTGCTTTTCATTGTCGAAGGAAAAAACGTGCTGAGTGGGTGGATCTCTCCACTTAAACCTGCCGAAATAATATGCTCTTCACCAACTACAAGTCGATTGTCAGCCGAACATTGGTATCATGAGGGAACAATAATCATGACAGGGGATAAAGGAAGTATGGAAAAACCTCTCATATCTCATGTCGTCGAGCACATAGATCGATGTGTGAGAAAGGAAGTCCCTGCCGAGCTGCCGTACTGTATGACTCTGGATGGCCACTCTTCCCGTGAAGGGTATCAATGGCTTGAACTTTGCAAGAAAAAAAATGCGAAGTCGTACAATCGCCGTCAAATACGACCCATTTCCTTCAACCGCGCAATCAGGACGTTAACAGTGCCTTTCAAAAAAGCATGCGATGGCACAGAGACCTCTTGCAGAAGGAAACCACACTACACATGCAGTCCGTGCGTTCCAATCTGATGGTTGCTGCATTGGCTTACAGTGATATTACCGTGGATAAGATAAGGTCAAGCTTCGAAAAATCCGGTTTATGGCCGATGAACTACTCTTTTCTTGACAGGTTCTTGAAAAGAGGACCAACTGGGGCTGTCAACAACCCCGAACTCATCAAAGAATCATCTAAGAATGTGGCAAGCAGAACCCGAAACAGTGACAGTAGGATTTTTCGAAGTCTATGCAACTTTTTGGCCGCAGCGACTGACCCGACCACGGGACTAAGAGATGTTGAAATTCTTTTGAGTAAGAACAGAAGCGTCAATAACATTCTAATGTCAAGCACTGGGTTTAGGAGCGGTGGTTCTCGGCAAGTGGTTCGGCAAAAAAATATGGAGCTCCAAAAAGGGACACCAGCGATATATTGACCTTGGACGATGTTATCCAAATCAGAAAAGCGAAGGATGCATCTGGTGTAGCTGCGAAGGTGCGGAAGGCCGAGGAGAAGGCAGACCGTGATCGCAAGCGCGAGCAGCGACGAGTGGCGAAAGCAGCTGGTGGCAGTAAGATGGGAGAGAAAGCCGTGGATCCAAGGTTTCCATCTTTGCGACCCCTTGAGCATGCTGTTGTTGCGTCTGCCGCAAATTGTGAAGCGGCGATGACCTCTACACCTTCTAAGCAGGCTGTGAGAAAGGACCCAAGCAGTGAATATGATGTTGCCGATTCTCTGTTGTCGCTTTCGCGTACGTAAGTAAAATTACCAAATTGCCCCTTTTCTTGATTTGGGGGTTATTTTTGCGTTTGTGAAAAGGTCATATTGCTTCGAAAAGCTCTATTTTGCCATCGTAATCCGGGTGTAGGAAGTAAGGGGACACTTGTCTGCGTGCACCAGATGCTGTATGGCTGTTCGGGATAGTGCCATACAATATTTGTGGGGCACTTTCAAAAGAATTACCAAATTGCCCCCTTCGGGAAGGGTACCCTAAGAGTACTGTATTGTCCCCGCGTGCTGGGTGTGCGCAGACGACATGGTCCAGTTATCATTCAGTTTATACGTTATCACAATTCACCCTGCCGTACTGCCGCTTTGCGAACAAAGATTCACATCGTTAGATACACCTGTCTGAATCTCACAGCCACTCGATGTATCCGCTCATACTCTTATTTTCTTTTTATGGCTGCCCTCAACTCGTGCACGCATCTCTTCAGCGAGCATACTGCCGTCCCGAGCTTGTCCGCACATTACCCTCGCACTGCGCCGCCGTACAGTGCATGACAGCGCAGAATGCACAGCGCAGAAAAACCGGCCTCCATATACTTTGTTGTCCTTCAAAAGCAACAGATTTTTTTCCAACAATCACACATCTTCCTCTGGAGAAGGACTCAGGTGCCCTACACGATTGCGACAAGTCTCCACCAATGAATTTCTAGCATCGAGGAAATCGGGCCTAACACATCCTGTGGTCCTGGGAAGTGCCTTCCAGCAACAACCGCCATTTCTCTGGAGATGGACTCCGGGGAAAGGGGAGAACGGCTGGTTTCGTCACTTACGAACAACCTTGCTAAATAAACATGTGCCGCAACGTACCGCAATCTCAACTAAAAGCATTGTACTGTACTACCCGAAACTTGGCATCAGGTATCTCGCCTCGGCCAACTTGCACATTCAAAATTTGCAGCGCTACCTACCTCTCATCATTTACAACACATGCGCGTTTAGATTCCTGGATGACCCTGATTTGGTGTACCCTGCACACACCAGTGATATCCCCCCAAAGCACACTTAACATTTCTATTCTTCTTGGCACGCGAGAGCACTGTCGCCCTCTCCGCGTATTTCGTTAGAGGAGATTGCTGTCTCGAATCCAAATACCGAAGACAGTCCCCAGTTGCCTTCAAGGGATAAAACACAGGGCCCTGTCGAGCCTCGCGTGAATCACGGCATGTCCCTTTGTTTATATCAGTATGGACGTGGCAAATTCTATTCTGCTTGACGAAATGGCACAGTTGAGCATACTCCTGAGTGCGTTTGCGCTGTAATGATGAATCCGTGGATTATTTTCCAACCCTGCGCGACGTTGAAGTAGTCCAAATTGCTACGTTCCGAGTTTTTTTTAAAAAATTATATCGGAAGGAACTCGGGAGAGTTTCTTGTAATGCTCGGGTTCTGCTCCGCCTCCCATACTTGTCGCGCTTGCGCAACCAATACCAAGTGTAGTAAATTTATCTGCTTTCAAAATTTTATTTCTGATATTGATACCAACCTCTAAAGCCTTGCATGTTCATGCAACGATTATGCTATCCCTTTTCTCAATCGCGGGACGAATCGCAGTACAGTACCCAAGGGTACTGCAAGTCCTAAAGTTTCTAGTGCACATCAATCACTATATCTAAAAGTGGTGAGTATCGAGCAATTATCGTTCAGTTAATGACCGTTACTGTACACAGCAATTTACCGAACTTTCGCCCACCAGCAATCGTAGTCGCCATGCATGCATTATGGGGTTCAGAGACGGGCACGTACGGTATCTTCGTAGAAGGAGACAGGAGAAGCCGATAAGGCACTTCGTAACCATCTAGAAACTGCCGATTGTATAATGTTTCTCATGTTTGGGCTTTGTATGGCCCTGCTGGAACTACCCTTGGTACTTCCAGCAGGGCCATGCGAAGGATACCCATTCCTGCATTCTAATCTTTCAGGTCTGAAATGCTGTCTTGTCGATGTCCTCGAGAGCTCTTTGTGGTCGCAATACCGACGCGCAATAAAGTGTACTGTAGTACAATGCTGTACAACATTACACAATAAGATTGAAACGGGTGCACCGTACTCTGAAACCTGCGAAAAAATTATACAAATATTGCCAAAACTGTATATACTGTACCCTTCGTACTGTAGTACTGTGCACAAAATCAAGCACGTTGAAACTTGCGGATAATGCTCGACGCTGGCAATTGCAGAATGCCGTACGACCACCAGTACTAAACACTCGTCACTGTCCTGTTCACATGCGTGCGGGGCCCAAGGAACAGAAGCATTGTGTCACTGAAATAAATTTACCGACAAGACAAAGCAAAGCCGGAAATGGTCTTGCTCCCACTTGGAGGTATGCCCTTACGACATTTGGAGCCGCGCAAGCGACATGGTTGTTTGCGCGGCTCCAATCGTGTCGGACTTTATGCCGCACTCAGTGCCACGCCGTATATATCCTTCCACGCACCTCTTCCATACCATCGCGAGACTTGGCGGCCTTTGATCGCTTTTGTTGGAACACAGTGGTACACGATAGTGATGATTTTCCGTTCAGATTGTCGGGGTGTCATTCGTATCGTTCCCGTCCTGGTCATTGTCGTTCCGGTGAAACATTCGAGATTTTATCTACGGTATTGCTCAGTCTTGATACTAAACTGCCTCAAGCTTCTGTACAACTCTCGAGATTTGCACATATTGATTGCATCTCTCTGATATCGGATAATGTCTGGATTTATTTATTTGTATAATTGTAATATAATTGTAATATAATAGTACTATGATGAGGTTATCGACATCAACTTACAATGTTGCAAGTTACAGTAGTACTGGTATGAGATGCAATACCACTCTGCGGGGGCTTCTGTACTTGCATACCGTATTGAAATCCTTTACGAATCACCAAGTGTGCGGCGTAAGTGCAATAATGCCCACTGGTCCCAGCACTATCTACTTGCACGAAAATTAACGCGTAGATAAGTTGTGCCACGAGCCGCACTCGTTCTACGTATAACAAACATCTTGCGGCAAATGCAGTGTTCCTCGTAAATGCCTACTTATATTCTCCAAGAAAATGGTCAATGATTTTCATGCTAGTTTATTGTCATCGTGACGCTTGTGTCTCGGTGTCACAGATGAACCCTTCGCAGTCGCTCTTGTAGCTACGCAAATTATGCTGCTTCGAATCCTTTTTGGCTTCGAGAAGGCGCCCGTGGCCGATGATCAACCTTTCCACACACTGGCACACAATCAACTTGTCTGAATCACTATTGAAAGCCATATCACAAACCTCCAAAGAAGCCCCTTGAGGCGGTCCACAGCTTACATCTCTCTGTCTCTCTTACCCGCCACAACCTTCAGTGATGAAATCTCCCAACTCTTATGCCCAGGAGACAGACGGCTTTTGTGTGTAAATAACGTTCTTGTTGCTAGGATATCAAACTTAGTCCTTTGCTCCGTTACGAGCACGGTGAGCAAGCATAGTGAACGTCATCTTGTCCTTAGTATTGGATCGCTTCAAAAATCAGATTTTCTAGATCAACATCCGAAGATGTTTTATATCTCTCTCATTGTGGTCGGACGGGCAGGGTACTCGCAGATGTTTGAAACTCGTTCTCGCGGTTGGCCCAAGTCGCGGCAACTCGCCCCTTTCACGTCTACCATCTGGTGCGATCGAGAACTACCGTACCGTTGGGTGACTGATCCTGTTTTGTGCTACACGTGTAGACTGCTTCGTAGCGTGTGTCATTGAGTGCAGACTACACTCAACTACACACGCTACGAACCAAGCACCGACAACGCACCTTGCCTGGTACAATAAACCAGTCAAGAATCTCTCGCCAAAAAAAAAAAAAAAAAAAGAATCTCTTACTTACAATTCACACTAGAGAAAAAGAATATACAAGCGTCTACGAAAAGCAACCTGACGCAGTGCGACGACCTGAGTTCAAAAATGCTAAACTATGGCGGCTTTCAGAGTGCATTTCAAACCCCTATGTTGTACTCGCGTGTTTAAGCCAAATTAAATACCGTTGTGGAAACTCCAAACCTGTGCAATCGTTATTCTACTGTGCTATTCGCAGTACTGTACAGAACAAATCTTGACAACCCACTGCAGCTCTAGAGATACTGCAGACGATTCCATTTGATTTAACAGAAAAATTGTCGGAATGACGTGATCGTAAGTGTATGAGCTCCCATCTTGTCAAGGATGACACCCCCCATTAAGTGCAGCAGAGTTTGTTCAGCTACGCGATCTGCTTTCCTGAGATCAATATTT